TCTAGTTTATAGCCAGACAATGCAATTTTTCACATGCATGTTTTGTTCAAATGTTTTGTATTGAAAAGTTTGCAAGGCTAGCCAATTAGCTCACTAAGGCTAACCCGCTGAGTGTCTTCTGTTTGAATAATGTGCCCCCCACTGTCTCCTCCTCTCCTTCTGCCTATTTGTGTAACACAGGTGTGACGCACATCTGAGTGGTGAGTCAAAGTGTGCGAGGCCGTGTTTAAAAAATGAATGAAATGGGGCCTAAATGAGTTTTGGGTAATCTGTTCATTTGTTTAGCAGATTACAGAGCTGATGCTGATTTTTGTGTTCGTCTGTTCTCCAGTGAGCTGTAGTGATACTGACAGAGCAGAAGTGGGTCAAATTTGAGCTGTTTTGTTTTAAAACGAAAGAGGTAACCTGAGATCAACCCCTGTGGTTAACAGTTTCAGTCTTTCACACTTTCACATCTGCACGTCCTTTCTCAGCTCTAACACACCAGACTCAGCTCATAAAGTCAATAAGTCAAGAAAAAACATCCATGCACAAGTACACAGCTTGACAAAGCAATGTTCCTCCAGGGCCTTAGGGGCAGCACTCAGGAGAGGAGCTTAACAAGGGCTTAAGAAATATATTTAAAGATATAGATATCTAGTGCAATTAAACATGGCACTTGGCTAAACCACCTAAGTATCTCTATCACTTACTTCCCACTTTGAAAATTCTGATTGGAGCGACCCTGGATTATCATTTATAACACAATGAGCCAGATTTGTAAACATTAAGAGCCAGCAGTGTGGCAGCAACACATCTGGTTATTGGTACAAGGAAATTACCAACGTGGTTTGCCATTTGCATGATATGAGGCATGGCCACCCTTTTATCTCATTTACATGCCATTCATAACACGTCATAATCACAGAGCAAGTTTTCAAGTCTTCAGTAGAAAAGTAAAAACTAAAAGACAGCAGCAAATCCATACAGCACTATTACTGTGCTTCCAGTGGCACCTTAAAGCAGCACTATGTAAAACTGTGTAAGATTTTTTTTTGTTAAAACTGAAAGCATTATATTTCCTTAGTGAGGAGAATAAAAACAGGCTAAAATATGGTGAGCGGTCAGAGGCATCGGGGCAGGAGTTTTTCAGACCACAGCGTACTTCTTCAGATATTGTCACATGCATAGGCTCAAAAAGAAGGTTCAGCTTGATGTTGAACCATCACGCCTACTGAGATCACAAGGCCCTGCTTACTACTATTACCTAGAATTAATAAAGTTACGTCAGCAGGGAGAGCTTTCTCATACAAACCCCCCCAGATTTGGAATCTTCCTGTTAATGTTCAGGACTCAGACACAGCCTCAGTGTTTAAGTCTAGGCTAAAAACGTACTGGTTTACTTGAGCCTTTGGTAATTAGTGTTTCCTGTAAGATAAAAGGTGCAGATCTAGGGGTTCATGGTCAGAGTATTATGGTAAACTGGGAGTGTTGGTGCTGTCGTCCCGCTGTTCTCACTCACTCACTCACTCAGGTTTGTTGACAGTGGAGCGGAGGGGCTCCGACATCTCAGGGAGCCTCATGACTTTCTGGTTTCTCCCTTTTAGTTAGGCTGTAATAACTAGAACTGACGGAGTCTCTGCTGCTCTGTTAACACTATAATCTGTGATCAGTCACTCTTTACTGAACTGACTCTCTGTGTGTTTACTTTCTTTGCTGAGTTGATCAGCTGCCCATCCTGTGCGTCTGATGCTGTTGTTTCTTCTGCCTTGATCGGGTGCCACTGCTCGCCAGCCTTCTGAACCATTTTGACCACTACTGAGCTTCATGCTGTAGAATGCTGTGCAAACCTCACCCTCATGAACTGACCCTCCTGATGCTGCTGCTGCTGCATAAACTAAACTAATCTATTTAACCATTGCTCCACCTGTTTTCCCCGTTTTGTAGTATAATATTTTATACTAACACTGTTTTCTATCCGGTGTCGACCAGAGGAGGATGGGTTCTCCTTTTGAGTCTTGGTTCCTCTCAAGGTTTCTTCCTGTTGCTCTTAGGGAGTTTTTCCTTGCCACTGTTGCCACTGGCGATGCTCATGGGGGCTCAGACCCGGATTTTTCTGTAAAGCTGCTTTGTGACGATACCTGTTGTAAAAAGCGCTATATAAATAAACTTTGACTTGACTTGACTTGACTTGACTTGACTTGACATGTTTAGGCCTAGACAGTAGTAGACAATTCACTCACATCCTCAAAAGACATGTCCTTCACCAAGTTTTGACTAAATTCTCTTTGAATTCTTTTTCAATCATCAGATTCGTCTGCTCAGGGAAGGGGTTCAAAGCACAACCCATGTTCCAAAATGTTCTTATGCATGTTAAGTGCACTTTTCCACCAGAGGTCTCCAAATCCCCACATCTTACATAGTACAGCTCCAGTGGCAAATACTTGAATGTCGCATGACAAGTCATTTCATGAACTGTTTTATTTATGCTCTGAACCCGATACGGTCATAAATCATGAAGATCTGCAGTTTGTGTGTCACTATATGAGAATATTTAATGCATAAACATTTGCTTTTAAAAATATCCCTTCATAATCCTTTGAGTAAACAGATGCCAGATCTAGCTTGAACACAGAAAGAACAGCATCTCACGGGCAGCACATGTTGCTACAAAATGTGTTCAGTATTAATGGTGCTTTCACAGATGTGCAGGTTACCCACTAACCCCTCCCACCACACACACACACACACACACACACACACACACACACACACACACACACTATGACAGATGCAGGCTTTTGAACTTCATGCTGCTAAAAATCTGGATGTTCCTTTACTTCTTTGGCACAAAGACATGACATCCATTATTTCCATAAACAATTTGAAATTTGACTCATCAGACCACAGCACATGTTTGCACTGTGTACCAGTCCATTTCAGATGAGCTTGAGCCCAGAGAAGTCGGCAGCGTTTTTAAATGGCATCCACTGTGAATAATACAGTCCTGCATTTTTGAGTGCAGCAATGAACAGTGCTTATTGACAATGGTTTGTCAAAGTACTATCAAGTCCATATGGTTATATTTATCACAGAAACATGCCTGTTTTTAATGCAGTGCTACCTGAGGGGTCAAAGGTCACAGGCATTCAGTTGTGGTTTTGGTCTTGCTTTCAATATACAGAGATTTCTCCAGATTCTCTCAATCTTTTGATTATATTATGCACTGTGGAGGGTAAAATACCTAAAATCTTTCAAACACTAATGGAGAAACATTATTTTTAAACAGTTGGACTATGTGCTGATGCATAAAGGTTTGGCCTTTACTGGATGCTCCTTTTATACCCAAGCATGACTACATCACCTCTTTTATGTTTTCTGAACTACTCAACATTACTGGCCTAAATTGCTTCTGTCCCAACTTTTTTGGTATGTGTTGCGGACATCAATTTCCAAGTGAGTGTACTTTTAAAAGACAGAATACAGTTGATAAGATGAAACATTGTTTTCTTTGTGTTGTTTTTATTTAAATACAGGCCAAAGTATTGCCAAAACAGCCAAGATTGCAGGCAGGTCAATTCTAGCCCTACTATTCCACTTTGTGGTAGACAGTAAACCCACAAAAACACCTCCCACAGCCCCCCACAGGCCTACATAGAACAGCACATGCAACATTTGTACACATCTTAGACTGATCTGACAATAAATTTACATTTAAATCTCTCCTACTGCGAACACAGCGCCTCTTAAGAGCCCCTTGCATGGCCACTGCACTTATTTTTAAGCAAAAGACTTAAACTTTGCTTTCCTGTTGGCCTTTCTTGTGATAGATAGTTGGGCCATGAGGTGGAAAAATCAGAGAGCTCCTGGACAAGAGGATGGCTAACACAACAGATGACCTACAGTCTTGAAACTGAACTCCAACAAGATAGAGCTACAAGTGAGGGGTTTCTGATAAAGTGGCCAGGGCGTGTGCACAGTAACATGGTACCAGCGCAACAAAGGAGAGTTAACAGGACTTAAATTGTTTATGTCAGAGCATGAGGTCTCCGAGAATGTCACTATTATATTCAAAACCAGTTCCTGAAGGCTTCAAAACTCTAGAAAAAACAAACAGAAAAAAACACATAGGATGTGGTGGGGAAGAGGTGGAGCTGCCCCTTCCCCCGACAACACTCAGACAACTGATATATGCACACTCCCACAGACTAAGTGCGAAGACCTACCTCACTCTTCACTATCTCTTCACTATCTACTCTGTTATCTCTGACTTATTGCTTGGTAGTACCTGAAAAACACCTATTTCCTTCCTTATCAGATCTTTTTTTTTCACTTTAAGAAATAGCAACATGCAGGGTTTGATTTGAAGAGGATAAAAAAGGACAACAATAATCAATTATCCTCCATTTAAAGCTGCAGTTCCACTGTGTCCACTCATTGTCCACTCTATTAGACACTCCTACCGTGTCAGTCCATCTTGTAGATGTAAAGTCAGAGACGATAGCTCATCTGCTGCAGCAATTTGTTTTGATCAGTCCTTCATCAGTGGTCACAGGACACTGCCCACAGGATGCTGCCCACAGGACGCTGCTAGCTGGATATTTTTGTCAGTTCAGCATCTCAACAACTGAGATGTTTAAAAACTCCAGCAGCACTGCTGTGTCTGATCCACTCGCACTGAAGTTATAAGCAGAATTACAATCCGGACTGCTTTTAGAATGAAGCCCAGTCAATCAGAACAGAGCTCATTTACATATATCAGTCTTAAAAGCACAGTAAAAAGCAGGCTGTTTATTTCGAAGGAATAAAGAGAGGCTGTTAAACGGTCATGACCGATGTTTTTGGTATATTAAACCACTGAAAATGTCATTAGTCGACCTTCAGCTGATTTGAAACATCACACTTCTGTCGTGACGTGCGTGTGAACTGTGAAAAGAGGAAATTGTTAGAAGCGGAAAGAACAGGGCTTTTATTCTCCAGTGAAATCGTGACAGTGTGCAGAGGGGGCTCCATTTGCACATCAAAACCAAAGCCAGACAGATCGCACTCACTGCACAGACAGAAGACCATGAAGCTTCTCTTTTTAATGTGTCTCCTGCACTACAGCTCCATACAAACAGCTCAGACCGGTGAGTAGACCACTTTACACTGTGGACACTTTATTTTGCTGGTTACTTTTATTAGGCTGGCCTCTACACTTACTCAGTCTTTCTTTGGAACAGTAATACATATACCTAATGCTTTGAACAAATATGAGCAAAACCAAATATATTCATACATAATTAAAGACCTCAGAAATATATTAAAAGTATAAATAGTCCAGCATTTTTAGACTTAATCTCTATTGGCTGCACCTGGTTCCATCTGTTACCACAAACAGTCACTATGAATCACTTCCCTGTAGTTTGAAAAAGAACAGGAACAGTTGATTAACATATTTACAATGTAAGTCACAATGAAATAATTAATAATGAATTATTAATGAATTTTTCCAACAGATTTGAGATAAAGTTTGGTGTTGAGTCGGTGTCTGAGGGGTGGGTGTTTGGCTGTTAGACATCGTCTATAAACCATAAATACATAACATATTTTATAACTCGATTTATATAAATAATCATTTTACAGTGATTTTTATTTACGAGACTGTAGGAATATCAGTTACACACAAACATTGACAACGCTAACATTTTTTAACACTAACATTTTTTATTTACATGTCATATTCATGTCTTTAGAGTATCCTTGCTGTGTTCTTTAAGCGTGAGTGGTTTGTTGTTTTCTCCTGTTAAACTGTACTGGGCTAACGAGCAAAAGTTTATTCATGTAGGCCATTTTTCTCGGTCAACAAACTGCCACGTATATATACACACACATACACACAGTACTGCGCACACGGTTTAGCCACCTGAGAGAGTTTATCTGCTCAGAATAACACTAATATTACAGTAAATACAAATAACACTATTGCCGTAAGTAGTGATTTTATGTATGTGAGTGTGTGCAATTGACTATTGATGTGTTTCTTACTCAGTGGTCTGGTGGACCCATTATTGTTTTTTTAAATCATATCCATAACAATTCATGTAAAAATACCAAATGTTTAAAATATTACAAATGGTCAGCGTAGCATTCTCCTTTAGCAGCTGTAGCCAGTCAGCAGCCTGTCCATGTTGTCCACCCTCACCCTCACACACACACACACACACACACACACACACACACACACACACACACACACACAAACACTAACAGCAGGCCATGTAGGAGGAGAACAGAGTGAAGGACACAGCACCTCCACACTTTTACTCCCCGCGGGTTCACCCAAGACCACATGTGTAATATAAGTGTGTGGGGGGTGAACAGAGTGAAGACACTGAAAATGAGTTATTCTATATGTTCTTCACAGACAATGAGCAAAGACCAAGAATCTGAGGTTGAAATAATAATAAAAATCACATCATTTATTTATTTTGGCAAACACTGAAAATGGGTCCCACAGACCTGAACACCACACAAGGGTTAACTGTAGTTGTCATCCAATACCTGATTTATGTAATCAATTCTTTATTATGTTAAATCAGAAGCTGCTGGTGGATTTAATAAATCTGTGTGATGGCTGGCGGTGGAACTAAACTTTACCTTTTCACTGTATTTAATTTGATTTGAGAAAAAATCTCATATCTTTGTTAGTACTGTAAAGGATTAAGGTTTGGATTCATTTCCAAGTTTTGGCTTCAGAAGGTTGCATTACAACCTATCAGAGGGTTTTTGCTGTGAGCTAAAGTCAAATTACATCTTTTACTTGAATATCAACCACAGACATTACCAAAGTCCACTTCTCTAAGACACAGCCACTCCTTCTGTATGTATTTCAGTGAGGTTTAAACTAGCTTAATGACCCCAAAGCACATCTTGTACCTGAGCTATGACCCACCCACCCAACCGCATGGCTTCATGTTAAAATATGTCTCAGTGCTCATCTGTTCACCCTAAAAGCAACGCACCATAACTTTTGCACAAGCCACATTTTGTTTTATTTTTTCCAATATGTTAAATTCAGCAAATAATCAGTAGTTGTGCATTAAAATGTGCAGAAGTGTGTTTTCTGTAGAGGACATGTAAACTTATTTACACAAACATGGAATCTGACCACGGGCACACAAACTTTTGCACATGACTGTATGTGCCATCAAAGCATAATCTACATGTAGGAAACACTTAATTACTTCATGAAACAGAGACTAATGTTTCTGGAGTAGCAATAAAGGTGTATAATATTCCCAAATGCAGATAAATGCAGACTGTTTTATATAAGTTATAGACTTGTCTAATAAGTTCCTGCTTCTATGACGTTGTGTGATGATCATATTGTAATTCTGCTCATGTTTGTTTTGACAGTAATATTCAGTCAGAGTGAAACAGAGGGGAGAAACATCAGCCTGTACTGTGGAAATAAGGGTAAAGTGATCTGGAGTAAAGGCACTGATGGAGGAACATCTACTATCCTCAGTGCTGAAAATGGAGAAATCACCCAGAAACACAGACCTGATCCAGAAAACAGATACAGTGTATTAAACAGTGATTTATCACTGGTGATAAAGAGCGTCGCTCTCTCTGACTCTGGGATTTACTACTGTAACGCTACTCCTGTAGTGAATCTGACTGTGAATCCTGCACCACCAGCAGGTGAGTCACATTTATAACTGTGTTGAGCTGCAGTTGCACTGAAATAGCCAGTTTACTTAAATGTGACAAGATGCAAAGACACAAAAAGGAGTTCATTTCTGGTAGCGTTCGCACCAAGTTAATCAAGGTGAACTTTAACCCCACAAATTGGCCAACCTCACAAGCCTCAGCCAATAGAATACAAGAGGGTGAGCAGGGAGTCTTCTTTCTGAACAACACTAGATGGGGAAACTGTTCCTCATTCAGCATAATGTCACTTACAGTTGCAAACAATCAAACTAGTGAGTGATTCAGAGTGGTTTGGTGTGAAATGGTTCAGATCTCTTTACAGTGGTGGTGATAGGAACCAGGGGTCGCCATGACTACAACACAAATATAGACATTTTATTTACCATCAAAACCACCAGTGAACCTACACGAGTCTTCTGAGTTTATATGGAATGTTGATGATGGAAAATAGTGGAAAATTTGAAACAGTACATTTTCTAATTTGCTTTATTACACTGTGCATCAGTGGTAGCGTCAATGGCCAGTAGCGTTTTGGGCTGCTTGCTGCGAGCTAATGTATAAATTCATAAGCAAAAGAACACTCATACAAACTGTTAATGTTACATCTAAGTGTATATCTGTAGTAATTTAGCGGTGAGCCAGCGGCTCCCACCTCAAGTTGTACAGCCCCAGTTTGCTGACTGTAACTGAGTCTCCTACAGTGGATAATTAAATGAAGCTGAAGTGAGCTCCTTATTCTCATTTCCTGTACTACCTTAAATGCGTGTAACTGCTGCACTATTTAAAGTGGGACAGAAATTGGAATAAGAAAATTAAGCGTGATGACCTGAATTTGAAACAAGCAGTACTCTTTTTTTCATACATGAATCAAGTGAAGATGGATAGCAGCAGCAAGAACTCCAAAAAACCAAGGTGATACTGAGAACACAAGAATGAAAAAGCTACTTAAGGATGAGGACATATCTGAGCAAGTGGGCAGTGAGAAATGACTTTAATTTACTTAGCTAGCATTAGTTAATAGCGTATTAACTGTCATGATTATGTTTCATTCAAGACAAAAGCTTCAGTTTTCATTTTATCTCTTGCATAACCATCTCGGTTATCTCAGTGTAGCATAATAATAAGTATAAGAAATGAAGAAGATGAAAGTGAAAAAGATGAAAAAGTTATTTTGCACAAAGGCAACGCTGTGTTTGGGAGGAGAAATACAGTGAGAGTTTGGGGTGGTCTGGGTCCTGTAACTCCCCATGAAAAGTTCCACTTCAGCTCTGCTTATGTATGTATCCCATATTTACTGTTTATGCATGTATATGTAATATTTTTTAAAACAAATAAAATTTAAATTTAGAACAAAATCACAAAACCATCATAAAACAGTGTCTCAGTCATCAGGCAGTGAATTCATAACCATTTCATATAATAACTTTCTGTGAGAAAGCTTTTAGAGGTGGACGTCTGGTTCCTATCGCAATTCTGTAGAACAGAGCATTTCACACTAAACCACCCCCAAACCATTTAATTATGAAGAAATTTTGACAAATCAGTGGAATTACCCTTAAAAAAGAGGTTCTTTGTTTAACCCAAAACATAACTCACTTTTGCTCTCTGATTTCTGGTGAATTTATAATTCATTGTTTTAAAACATGAATAATAACAGCAACAATAATAATGCAAATATGATTTTTGTCTTTTTCACTGAATTCAGTCAGATTTGTAAGTGGTAGATGAAGATGATATGATTGTTTGTGTTGATTACCTTTATTTCTGCCTTTTGTAAAAGCAAACATTCATTCTGTAAAGCTAAACACAGAAGCAGTGGACTTGTCAGAGGCTCTAAACACTAACATTAGTGAGTCGGTCTGAGTGACTAACCTCATCTAGCAGTGTGGGTGGTTTCGCATGTCTATTGCTCATCTCATAACCTAATAATAATTCATGTAAGTTTGCATGTAATTACTTAATGATTTAGACAAGTAGAGGAACATAAAAAGGTTAAACACTAGCAGTGTGTTACTTTAAGAGCCTTTTAATGTTCACTTCATTCGGGCAGTAAGTGAGTGGAAGTGTGTGGGTGTTTGTGGCACAACAGAGGAAGCCAGAGGAAGGTATAGTTTATGCTTAGAAAATGCTCCTTTATCAGATCAGGCAGAAACGCCACTTAATTACAGCAAGAACATCGACAAGGTCACTGCTAACCATGTACTTTCACCCCACGGTAGACACGTTAATCCATCCAAACTAAACGCACATCCTGACATAATATTACACAAATAACACAAATGCACCTTAAACTAACAAACAACAACAAGAATAAACAGTTTTACAATTCACAATATAGGTTATATTCACAATATAACCTATTCACAATATAGGAAATAAAGGTTCTGTGTATGTATATTTTGTAGGTACAAACAGTGTAAATGTTCCCTCAAAGGTTCAACAGTGGTTTTAAGGTCTGATTGTGAACCTTAAATAAGTTTTTCCAGGTGAAAAGTTTGTATTTGTACCTTTTCATAACCGAATGATTTAAAACAGAACAGTAAAATAAAAGCCTGGAGACGAGACGGGGTGTGTGGAGTCAGTACAGCTTAGAACATATCATTTCAGTGGATTATGGTACAGTTATGTTCCCTGACTGAAGATACTGAGATGGAGCCTTGAGGGTCCCACCCCAGTGACAAGAGGGGCACTGCCCCAGTGACAGTTTAGTACCTTTAGTTCTGGGAGTTTAGAAAGGGCTACAGTACAGACTATGCATTAAAAAAAAGGCCCAAAGGCCCTCTCTCTGAACAGAGCATATGGCAGCTGCCACGATACTGAAAAAAAGGTAATTGCAAGATATATGTAGTAACCCTGTATCTCCAAAAAAGTAAGAGATCAGAGGTGAGACTGCTCTTAACTTTCCATGTAAGTTAATGTAACAAGATTTTTTTCTAAGTCTGTTGGTGTGTTCGTCATTAAATTTAGCATGAAATCAAACTCAACTCCACACATTTCATGTTACTATCCGTTTCCTGCGTTTGGTGAAAATCAATAAAATTTTTCTACATACCCAAATGCAGTCGATCAGCCAAAACATGTTTGTCCAAACTTTGTTTCTTCAGTTTTGAACTGGAGCTGCCAGGCTAACAGTGCTAACAAAAGTTGAAAGAAAATAGTCACCAAAACTCTTTCCATAAATACATGCCAAATTACGTCAATGAGCTACACAAAGTCGCTTAGAAAAATACAGGGAGATTCAATCGAAAGAGGCCCCGAATATTCTGTTGTAACTCCCGTTAGGATGAAGCAATCTGAACCAAAAAATACTCAATACATTCCTTGATGAGCATGTAATCGATTGCATTACATGCGATGCTGGAAGAGATCTCTGTTTTCTGCCAGAGACATTTCAAACCAGCGCTCCATGTTCCTAAAAGTTCCTTGTTTCGTTAAGATTGATTCATCCTAGCGGGAGTTATTACAGAATAATCAGGGCCTCTTTCATCTACAGTATGTCCTGCTTTAGTGCTATTGTGCCTTCAAACTCTGGGAAGATGTAGCGCAGGAGCATGTTGTAAAGCATCACGACACATAATCTAAGTGTTTGTACAGTAACGACTAAGGTTTGCTTGTTGTAAGAGAGTTAGAAGTTGCAATTTCAGTTCACTCCAAAAAATTCTCTATGAAATTTAGGTAAGGTTGTGATGCCCATTCCAATTACTTCACTTTTTTGTCTTAAAGCCACTTTGTCACCACTTTGGAGGAATGCTTAGGATCATTGTCCTGCTAGAAGATCTAATTGTGATGAAGTTTTTCTCAGTTGCTCCAGTAACTTTTTCCAGCAAATCATCCCCACAACATGAAGCTGCCTCCACCATGCTTTACAGCTGGGATGGTGTTTTTTGGACTGAAAGCCTTCCTCATATTTATGTTTGTTGTAAGAGAGTTAGAATTTGCATATCAAATAACAATAAACCTATGAAAAAGCCACTGGTGGCTCCAGCATCCAAATGACATACAGGTTTATACATACACAGTTGAGGCTCATTTACACAGAAAATGTGGGCCGCAAATTGGTACTTGGACATTGTACTGATTCTCTTAGTACTCTCTTAGCTTCTCTGCTACATTACCTTAAGGTGCGTCTGCGTGATGGAGGCCATTTTTGGTTATGTTGCACAGAATGATACCAAACTTTTGGGGGTTTGTTTATAGTGCATAGTGAGTCATTCTGTGTTCTAAACCACATCAACTTGTCTGCATGACCTGAATTAAGACCTGGATGTGGTTTGAGCAGGTTGACAGAAGTTTTGTGCTGGTATTTACAGAAAGAGTTTGAAACAAGTTCCCCACCGAGGAGACACATTTTTACACCAAATAAGCCAAACTTTATCATTTCAAAATAATATCTAAGAGACAAGTTTCCTTCAGGTTTTTATTTCTTTTTAGATTTTGAGTGGGTCAGTAGTTTATGTACACTTACTTAGTATTTGGTGACATTGCCTTTTGATTGCTTAACTCGATTCAAATGCTTGGTGTATCCTTCTACAAGCTTTTCTAGTACTTTGCTAGAATACTTGCCTATTCCTTCTGACACAACTGCTGGAATTCAGTCAGTTTTGTGGGATTCCTTGCTCAAACTTGCTTTTTCAGTTTACTCAACAAATTCTCAATGGGATTCAGGTCAGGGTTTTATGATGACCACTCCAATTCTTCCAGTTTGTTGTCTTTAAGCCATTTTGTCTGTACTTTGGAGGAATGCTTAGGATCATGGTTCTGCTAGAAGACCCAATTTTGATCAAGTTTTGACTCTCATTGATGTTTTGAGATGTCGTTTCAGTATTTCTAGATAATCCTCAATCCTCATGATGCCATCTATTTTCTCAATTGCTCCAGTCCCTTTTCCAGCAAATCACCCCCACAACATGAAGCTGCCTCCACCACGCTTCACAGCTGGTATTCTGTGGACTGAAAGCCTTCCCCTTACATAATGCTGATTATTATGGCCGAACAGTTCATGTTTCATCTGACCAAAGAACACTCCTCCAGAAAGCTGTAGGTCTTTGTCCTGGTGACCAGCTTTCAATTTCAAAGTTAGAGCTTCTTCTTGTGTGACAACCTTTCAGACAATGGTGATGTCAGATTCTTAATGATGGCTGTAGATACTTTGGTACCTAAGGCCTCTTTCACCAGTTCCTGTGTTGTTGTTTTAGAGGTTCGGATGAATCTTTCTGACCGAAGTTTGTTCAGCTCTGAAAGTTAACTTCCTTGCTGAATGATGCAGTGTCTGTGTGATCCCAAGATATTTATATTTCCATATGATTGTTGTACAGATAGTTGTGGTACCTTCAGTTGTTTGGAAATTGTCCTTAGGGAGCTGGACTTTTAGAGGTCTTTGCTGAGTAGCTTGTATTTTTCCATGGTATCAAGGGCAAAAAGACACTAGCTCTACTGGTGGGCTCTTAAAATTCAGTTACAGGGGAAGTCTCAATTTACACCTATTTGTAACAATTGACCAATCAGGAGCATCTAAAAAATATTAATCAATTTCTGGAATCTTTCAGACAGTAAAAAGAGAGTCAACTTTGTGTATGTAAACTTTTGACTTACTGGATATCTGATATAGTGAATTAAACCTGAAATACATTTGTTTTCATTAATTACCAAATGGTTCCTGGTTTATTTGTACGGTTCTTTAGAAACGCTTTCATTATTATAAACCCTTTAAATTATATGGAGGATTTTTTGAACTTTAAAAGGATCTTCACACTCACGTCATTCCACAAAATATAGAGCCCCTTAGGAAAGCACTTTTTGGTGCCCTTCTTTTTAAGAGTGTAGCTAGATGACTTCATCTTATTGGATAACATTTTTCAACAAACATTTTTGATTTTCTGTTTTTTTTGTTTTACAGATAAGAGATCATCCACTTCTCCTCTTGATGTGTCCTGCTCTTCTCCAGTGAGTTCCAGTGAAAGTGGCAGTGAAAAAGCAGACAGAATGAATGAAACCCAAACAACTTCTCCACTCTGTGAGTTTTAGGCTGGATTTAAACTATGAAACTTACATGCAACTAGTTGCATGTTGTGAGTTGCTTGCAACAGGTGGTGTAAAGCGCCGCCACTGGACTCTAGAGCAGTGGAGACGTGTTCTCTGGAGTGACCAATCACGCTTTTCCGTCTGGCAATCCGATGGACGAGTCTGGGTTTGGCGGTTCCCAGGAGAACGGTACTTGTCTGACTGCATTGTGCCAAGTGTAAAGTTTGGTGGAGGGGGGATTATGGTGTGGGGTTGTTTTTCAGGAGTTGGGCTCCTTTGGGGACGGCCCCTTCCTGCTCCAACATGACTGCGCACCACTGCACAAAGCAAGGTCCATGAAGACATGGATGAGCAAGTTTGGTGTGAAAGAACTCGAATACTTTTGGCAATATAGTGTATTTGAAGCATGTTTATCATCTTCATATATTTTTTTCAGCTGTCATTTTCAGTTATTGCAGAATAATTAGCTTTCAAGAACTCTTGTTTGTTGTCATGGCTCAGATAAAGTTAACTGACGAAACTCAAGACAACTGAGTTGCAGGACACTCTACGTTATGCAGCAGTTTCATGTATGTTTCAAGCAACTACACTGTAAAAATGATGTGTTAACCCTTAGAACCCGAAACAGTAGGTCACTTCTTGCCTTCAGAACTTTAGAACGTTTTAAGCTACAGATATGATACACATATCAGACCATTCAGCAGACCCGCCCCTAACTAGCTGGCATGACGTCATCGAGCTGTGATATTAGCATCAGTGAGTGATTCGGCTCAGAAAATCACCCAAAATCCTGATATTATTGCTCTGTTTTTTGGCCTTCATGTTCCAACAAAGGGTTAAAACAGGGACATGATTTATACATCAGATCACTCATCAGACTCTGCCTCACCATCCAGAGTGATTTCATCACCTGTGATAATCCATCAGCCAGAAATCCAGCTCCAAAATCACCCAAACCCATTTTAACACTTTGTGTTTTATGTTTTCTGATTTAACAAATTCTGTGTTAAAAGTAACACAATGTGTTCTCTGTAAATGAGAAATGTCAACACATTTTGTGTTAAAGCTCACTCAAAATGTATTTTTTGTCTCCAACTGACCACACTGATGTGTCTAGTTAGAGACAGCTTTTTAACACATCTGTCAAAAGTCAACCTTAGTTTCCTTTTTAAAGTCAAAGCGTTATAAACAGTCTTGCTAAGAGCTTTGTTTGTGGTTGACAGCAGGGGTGTAAATTTGGTCTGACAAGTTGGGGGACCAATGTCTCGAGGCCAAAGCATACATAGAGAAATTCAAATGTGCAAACAAAGAACGCCTACAACTGTGGTGAGCACAGACTTTGGCGAAGGCGGGCTGAGCTGTTTCAAAAGGGCATTTTGTGTGGGCACTTCTGGAAAAGTTCATTTCACAATGTTTTCAGTACATAAAAATACAATTATAGATGGAGTTGTTCTAATAGTGTGATACTCTGTATGCAGATCTGATTTTAACTATACAAACTTAACAGAACCAGAAAAAAAGAATAGACCTAACCCTAATAAATGCACTCCTTAACACAGTCAACATATTATATGATTTAAATTCTTTATTAAACCTGGCAGAAAAGGCACATACAGTGAAAGCATGAAACACTACAACCATGGGGGAGGTCACCATTAGCCACATGCTTCACCCTGACAGTGACCAGCTCCCAACACAAAACCCACATCCCCACCACAGCACAACACAATAAACACATGTGCACAACTTAAACTAAGAACAACATAAACAGTCCTTTTTTTAGAAGGGTGCATGCTTACCATGGGCCTTTGCGTGGCCGATCATGTGGCCACGCTTCCTTAGCCCCTGAGCTAGCACCAGCCAGTAGTATGTGGCTACAGTATCAAAACTCCAAACTCTAAATATCAAAACTTTATCTATAATCGTAAAGAAATGTGACTTGATAATCATAAACCAAAGTTGGATTTAAAGAAATACACAAATGAAGCTAAAAGCTATAATCTTGACTTGTAACCATGATATCAACAACCCACAGCAACAGGGCTTTTTGGTTTTTTCCTTTTTAAATTTATTTCTTAAGCTTTTATTTTCTGGCAGGAGTCAGTCTTTAATTCAATGTAAGATATTGGAGGTTGTTTGTTCGACCGGGAGTGACTACAGTAACTAAGACAAAGTTAAAGTTGCTTGAATTGTCACCATTTAAGGTGGAACAGAAAACTCAAAATAGTAGCTGGTGGACAGGAAGCCAACTTCAGCCTCATGTAACCGTGGGGGTAAATGTGTTTGTGACTAATGCAAGTAGGAATTTGTTCACTTATACTAACATGTTAGCATTTTCTGGATGTATGCACAGTATGTAGAAATTGCAGAAATCCTTAAGTGCTGAGTGTAGAGATTCAGCTTTGTTGTCTATTACAATGGCTTTTTTTTCTAACCATTGTGTCACTAAAAGTCTATATGGAAAAGGCTCAGGATTGTAGTGACATATGAACAATGCTTCACGAAGAGTGGAAAGAGTGTGAGTATTTATAGGGGAGTTGATGAACGGAGATTGACAACAGGTGTGGGTGCGTGACAGTTAGAATTCAGGAGAGGATGACCTCTGGTGGCCAGTTTGGGAGTTGCACATGACAGTTGCTATATAACTTTCAGCAAAATACTCCAATAATGATAAATATGATGATAATTAAAAAGAAAAAGAAAGGACTATTTATAATTGTAAAGTCATAAGTCAACAAACTATCACAGTGCAATAAAGATGTGTTGAATACAGTTCCAAGGCAGGTTAGTGCTACTGTACTTTACAGCTGGCCTATGCAATAATTGACCAACAGTTTTTTGGCAACTAAGTTGAGTAATTTGCACCACTGGTTAACAGTGTCTAACACAAGCATTCTCATGCGAAATCAGCTTCATTTATGCTTTCAGTCTCAGAGCTGTTATTTTCAGTGGTCAGAACTGCTTTAAAACTGAAATCAAAGAAGCTGCAGTGTCCACAGGTGTTTGAACGCACACGCTGCAGGCCTGCAAACTCTGCATTGCACACTCTATAAATGTACTGCTATATTTTTCTTCAATTTTATTCCCTCTGACATCCACTTATGATGTTTGTGTGGTTTTATATATCAAAACCAGTCATAATGAATTTCTACATGGCCATTTACTCTCTTTATCCCTCAGAATTAAACAGGCTTAAATAGTTACTGTGCCTTTAAGACTGATATATGTAAATTATATATATATGTAATTGTATATATTGTCAAATTGTTTTGTCAAACAGTTGTGACTGTGTGGGCATTATGTGTATATATGTATATATAAAACTTGTTAATTATACTATGCTACAAATATTGGCATTCTGTTTATGTTATTGTTTAATATGTTTACATTAACAATAGTAAACAGCTGATGTGTTTTATGTTCTGACTTCCTCAGCGGTCTCACCTACCAAACTCACACCTGCATCTACAGTGATTAACTCAGGTAAGAGACCCATTATAACTACAGTACCACAGCAGTCATCACAGGAAAGGAATCATCTCACCTGACAGCCTAACGCTGGCGACTGATGTGAAACCTTTTCATAGAACACAAATTAAGACATTTAGTGTTTTGCTCTGAGCAGGTCAGTTATTTAACACATATGTATTTGTTTATTCAGTTCAACAGTAATTAAGATCAGTGTACATTGTTACTGCAAACACACAGGAGTTTATCTGTTTTGTTCTACTTTCCTCAGAGGCCTCAACCACCAACTCCACAGCTCAGTCCTCTTCAGGAAGTGATGGTAAGACACCAACTGGCTACCACGTTATTTTACAGAAGAGAACCCAGATGCAGGATTGGTTCAAACCTGCTTAGTTCCATTCGTGGGTTTTGGGTGAGATGGCTCTGCTGTATTGCACGAGCTCTACAGGTGGACATGATTCCTACAAGTACAGAATTCCTTTGTTGGACATTTTTTGGAAATCCTTTTGTAGGACATCCCTTTTTGTACATCCATTTGTAGGAGATTGATTTGTAGGACATTCTTTGTTGGACAACCTTTCCTAGGACATTACATCGCACAACATTCCATCATAGGACATCCTTTTGTAGGACATTCAGCTATTAGAAATCCTTTTGTAGGACCTTCATTTGTTGGACATCCCTTTGTAGGATATTCAATTGTAGGACATCCCTTTCTTGGACATCCCTTTGGTGGATATTGCTTTTTGGACATCCCTTTGTTGGACAACCCTTTTTTTGGACATCACTTTATTGGTTATCCCTTTTTTGGACATCCCTCTTATTGACATTCTTTTGTTGGACATCCATTTGTAGGACATTCCTTAAAGATAAAATTAAGATATCATCACAGTCCAAATAAAAACATGCATCTCCAAAATAGAACATTTACAGCATGATAAAAAGCTCTTAACTTTTGATGTAAGTTAATGTAACAAGATTTTATTGTGAGTGATTATCATCTTAAAATGTTTACACAATGTAAAAGACAGCCACCGTGTTTGAAGAACGTAAAAATCATAAAGTCATATTTTCTCAAAATGAATTTTTATGTTACAATAATCACGTTGTCTTGGTGAGCAAGAACTATTTTTTATGAGTCACAGTTTGAACCTGAAACAGGCACAGAAAGTATCTTTTTCTCCTACCAGGCAGAAACAGCTTTAGTACAAAAGCATGTGAGACAAACATGGTCGTACTGCGCTGGTCAGATGTTAGTGAAGAGGCTGGATGTTGAAAGATGATCTTCATTTGTATGAAGTTCTGAGTAGATAAGCTGCTAAACTGGCCCCACCAGCACAAAGTGACAGTAAATCTGCTCAAGAGTGTTTTACCAGTTAAGACTTTGTGTGTTTTCTTTTACAGAACCTCCAAAAGCTTCAAGAAAGAAAACAAAATCTACACAGACTGAACAAGAGTGGAACAAGAGCAGTGAGACACATTAAGATTACATTACATGTGAACATGTTGGGTAAACTTTAGTCACAGAAAAGCAGGAAAGACTAGTGTTTTCATTCTTTCATACAGCTGATTATATTATGTACATGTACTATTTAGTACACATACTTTTTTAACATGTATGCTGATGACATAAAGAGAGAAGCAGGACTGAGTGTTTAGATGTGTATAATAACTGTTTAGGCCTGCTGGCAGGTCCTGGCTGTTTAAGGGGTTAATAACAAGCCCAGCAAACATCCATACAATGTTTTTTTGCAAGTGTGGAAGTTCAGGTGCCATCAGCACCACCAGTATTGACATCAGATCAGCAGTTATCTGTCACTGTGAACCTCCTGCTCACAAGGAACTTCATAATCAGCAGCAATTAAAAATGTATTCTCTGTTCCTCTTCATAGTCAGTGACTGGACATGGAACAGTAAGAGTAGCTGAGAATCTGTCCTCTGTCTAAACATGAAACATCCAGATGTTCTTACATATATTTTTTAATATATGCTTTGGCATATTTTGCATATGCACAGTTTTGGAGAACCATTTTTGTAAATGAAAAACTTTTTTTCTTTAAAGAACCTACACATAATGTAAATATTTCTGTAATGTAAGGTTTTCAAGAAGAACACATACAAATAAAAAGTTAGAAACAGATGACCTCTCGACTGGCCTGCATGCTGTTCAAAGAAGAACATCTCCAAAATAGTAACTTCAAAGAAGAAGGCAAAACACTAATAACTTTTAATATAAGATAATGTAATGAGATTTTAGTTCAAGTGATTATCATCATAAAATGTTTGCAATTAAACATTAATAAAACAAATAAAATAAATACAATTACAGACATAGAAAGATCAACAACAATATGAATCTCTAAAAGACTTTCTCTGATGTGCTGCTTGTAGGTTTGAGGTTATGATCAAATTCATACAGTTCCCAAACGACCCGAGTGCTCTCACTGAAATTAAACAGAGATTTTACAGTTTCCACGTGGACTCGGCACAGAGCTCAGCTCATCACACCAGCCGAAAACTAATGTGTTTCAAAACTGAAATACGGATTTTCTTGCGTTTCTGACCCATTTGCCAAAACAGAAAGTCTTATTTTCTCAAAATAATGAGTTGTTAGATTAAAATAATCACATATTTTCTCAATGAGGAATAACTCATCTTTTTTTTTTCTAAAAATTATAATTTTTGATAATTTATTTGCAGGAAGTCAACAAATAATTCATTATTTCAACCTAATGAGTCACAGTTTGAACCTGAAACAGCCACAGAAAGTTTCTTCTACCAGGCAGAAACAGCTTCAGTATGAAAGCATGTGAGCCAAATATGGATGGCAGCTCACCACCTGAAGCTCAATCCTAGCAAGACTGAGCTGCTATTCATCCCTGCAACTACAGGTCCTCATCATGATCTTGCCATCTCATTCGAGAACTCTCTGATTGTCCCGTCAGCAGAGGCAAGAAGTCTTGGTGTGGTTCTGGATGGCCAGTTATCGTTCTCGACTCACATTGCGAACCTAACTCGGTCATGCAGATTTCTCCTGTTCAACATCCGGAGGATCTGACCCTTTCTCTCTCGAGAGGCCACCCAGGTGCTAGTGCAGTCCTTTGTCATCTCAAGGCTTGACTACTGCAACTCGCTCTTGGCTGGTCTTCCGATGCAGCCATCAAGCCTCTGCAACTCATCCAGAATGCAGCAGCACGACTCGTCTTCAATCTCCCAAAGTTCAGCCATGTCACCCCACTGCTGCGCTCCCTTCACTGGCTTCCTGTAGCTGCACGCATCAGATTTAAAACCCTTATGCTTGCCTACAAAGCCAAAAATGGACCAGCCCCTCCCTACTTGATGGCAATGGTCAAATCTCGAACTGTACCACGAGCCCTTCGAGCTTCGAGTACAGCTCGGCTTGACCCGCCATCCTCCAAAGCGCGCAGAAGGCAAACATCTAGACTGTTCTCTGTGCTGGCACCCAGGTGGTGGAACGAACTCCCACTGGCTGTCCGAACAGCAGAGTCTCTCGCTGTCTTCAAACGGAGACTGAAGACACATCTCTTTATACAGCACTTAAATGAGCACTGAATTAAGTATTGATTGTAATGTATTGTACAGCACTTATGTATTGTATCGTATTGCACTGTTCTGTGTTTAACTCTGTTCCTTTTCACTAGGTGTCAATGACTTTCTGATTCTAGCAGTATCTAAGTTTAGGACTGTCTTTCTCTCTAACCTATTGGTAGCTAGCAAAGATTCTTTCTCTGGATAGACAAAGCACTTTTTGTAAGTCGCTCTGGATAAGAGCGTCTGCTAAATGATGTAAATGTAAATGTAAATATGGTTGTACTGCGCTGGTCAGATGTTAGTAAAGAGCTTGGCTGTTGAAAGATGATTTTCATTTGTATGAAATTCTAAGTCGATGAGCTGCTAGACTGAGAGTCAACAAACTGTCAGTAATTAGCATCTTTTTCAGTAAATCTGTGAGTTTTAACAGTTAAAATTTGGTGTGTTTTCTTTTGCAGACTCTTCAAAAGCTTCAAGCAACACAACACAGTCTGCACATCCTAACAAAAAGTGGAAAAAGTGGGAAAAGGATGGTAAGACACAGCTGAATGTGTTAGGCACACTATGTTTAATCACAGACTAAAGTAGTGTTTTCATTATTTCATACCACTGATTATATTATGTACACATGTTAATCACATGCTATCTGTGCTACTTACTGCTCTTTATGAAGAGAAAGTGGAAGTCATGGTAAAAATGAAAGAAACGGAGAACCAGCCCACAATAAAGGTACTAGTACATACAGTAAGGCCACACAGCTAATGGTGCTGCTGTCAGATATGTGGTGACACTATTTAAAGTCTACATAGGGACTCCATAACTCATCCATAAGAACTGAATAACATACTCCACTATTCTTGTTTAACATGTATGCTGATGACATAAAGAGAGAAGCGGGACTGAGTGTTTAGATGTATGTAATAACTGTTTAGACCTGCTGGCAGGTCCTGGCTATTTAACCCTCTACTGCAATTATTACTTAAACATGATAAAAATGTTTTAACGTGTGGTTATTTAAAATTGCTTAAATAATGGAAATATTTGAAAAAAATATATATATATTTTTTTAAGTGGGGTATTTGGTAAATTGTTGCCATATGGCAACAATGCTCAATCATACCACAGCACCAATAAATCGGAAAAAAAGCACCATAAAATACAAATTCTCTAAAAACATCATTTTATTAAAAAAAACAAGACCAAACAAATCCAACTTATACTTAATACAAACATACGACCCAATATTCACAAATATTATAAATTAATACATTTTCAAAAGGTATTTGGAATATATGGTAATAACAACATCATACTAAGAATTCCTGCTCATGTGATGTCATAAATTATTTGTCATTTCAAAGTAAAAGACCCTTATTCAACAATTAAATAGGAAAACAGATTTTATATTACTGATTTTTGGTAAAATTGAGATAAAGTAATAGTTGCCATATGGCAACACCGTGCAACAGAGGGTTAAGGGGTTAATAAGAAGCACAACAATCATTCATATGATGTTCTTTTGCAAGTGTGGAAGTTCAGGTGCCATCAGCACCACCAGTATTGACATCACATCAGCAGTTATGATCACTGTGAACCTCCTGCTCACGTCACAAGGACTTTTATAATGAGCAGCATCTAAATTAATTCTCTGTTCCTCCTCATAGTCAGTAACTGGACATGGAACTGGACAAGGAAGAGTAGCTGGGAATCTGTCCTCTGTCTAAACATGAAACATCCAGACATACTTAGATATACTCTTTAATATGTTCTTTGGCGTATTTTGCATATGCACAGTTTTGGTGAACCATTTTTGTAAAAGAAGTGTGTGAGAGTGAAGAACTTTTGTTAAAGTTTAAAGGACAACCACATAATGTAAAGGTTTATGTAGCGTAAATGTTTTCAAGAAGAACCTTTACATTCGATGAAGGTTCTTCACACTCTCAACATACACACACTTCTTCTATGAAGATCTATCACTCACACCTTTGTGGTACCTTTATTTGAAGAGTGTAAATAACAGGCCTTGGATAGTAAGTTGCACCTGGGAAATGGACACATTAGCACAGCACAACATCCTCTACTCTCATTTCTACATTATGTATTCTGAATCCAGTAATCTAAACCACGTCTCTTGTGACTGTAGGTTTCATTATCGCTATTGCTGTGCTGGTCGGGGTGCTGCTGATAGTTTTGGCTCTGTTTCTACAGAGATGCTATTTCAAAAGGAAAGGTGAGAGATTGTGTTAAAATGACAAGCTGCATTCCAACATCTTCAACATACCAGTAATAAATTTCATTTTAATCAACACATCATCCTGTACTGAACTGTCTGTCTTACTGTTCTCAGCTGCCAGAGCCAAGAAGACTGATCATGTCTACGAAACCATAAATGACGCTGCACCGACCACACAGCCTGGTGAGCCTTAACAGAGTTTGACTCATGCAGTGACACACTTTAGCTGGTGTACATGACCTGTCAAATTACACGGGACACCTAGCTTTTCAAATAGATGAGCATGTTTTATTATAAGCTTTATTATAACTTATTAAAGACTAAGGAAAACACTGTTATGCAAATATTAATGACATTACAACTTCGAGAATAATGGAAAAGGCCAACCATTTTATTCCCATGTTGTGATGTCAGCACTCATCAGCACTCAACCTGTCAGGTGTTTAAACCACCTTTAAGGCAAAAAAGTTTCAGTGTGTGCTTTTAATAGGGCTGTAGTCAAGACAAGTCCAAGATTATGACTAGTCAAGTTTCAGGGTTAGAAAAAATTTTGGCAACATGAATGGCCGAGACCAAGATTGGTCCAAATACTACAATCGCAAGACATGTCCCAGTACAAGGACTACTGAATATAATCAACCACATGTCTAAATGCAAACACTATAGTGTAGAGTCCAAGACAAGCCAAAGTCCAAACACTACTGAGCCCAAGTTCCAGACACGTTCAAGTATAAATACTTGGAGTCCAAGACAAGTCCAAAAACAAATACTGCTTAGACCAAGACGAGTTAGAATACATAATAAAACCAGGTACAAATACTATGGAGTCAAAGACAAATATAAATACAGATTATGTTTGTATCCAAGATGAATCAGAGTATCAGTCAATCAAAACTATCAAGTCCTAGACAAGTTCAAGAACAAATACAATGGGGTCCAAGACAAGCCAAAATAAAAATACTACTGAATCCAAGACATGTCCTGGACAAATTCACGTACAAATACAACTGAGACCAAGACATGTCCTGGACAAGCTCAAGTATAAATACTCCTAAAACCAAGACATGTCCTGGATAAGTTCAAGTACAAATACTACTGAGTCCAAGACATGTCCTAGACAAGTTCATGTATAAATACTATTGAAACCAAGACATGTCCTGGACAAGTTCAAGTACAAATACTACTGAGTCCAAGACATGTCCTGGACAAGTTCATGTATAAATATTATTGAAACCAAGACATGTCCTGGACAAGTTCAAGTACAAATACTACTGAGTCCAAGACATGTCCTAGACAAGTTCATGTATAAATACTATAGAAACCAAAACATGTCCTGGACAAGTTCAAATATGAATACTTGGAGTCCAAGACAAGTCCTGGACAAGTTCAAGTATAAATACTCCTAAAACCAAGACATGTCCTGGATAAGTTCAAGTACAAATACTACTGAGTCCAAGACATGTCCTGGACAAGTTCAAGTACAAATACTACTGAGTCCAAGACATGTCCTTGACCAGTTAAAGTATAAATACTATTGAAATCAAGACATGTCCTGGACAAGTTCAAGTACAAATACTATTGAAACCAAGACATGTCCTGGACAAGTTCAAGTACAAATACTACTGAGTCCAAGACATGTCCTAGACAAGTTCATGTATAAATACGATTGAAACCAAGACATGTCCTGGACAAGTTCAAGTACAAATACTACTGAGTCCAAGACATGTCCTAGACAAGTTCATGTATAAATACTATAGAAACCAAAACATGTCCTGGACAAGTTCAAATATGAATACTTGGAGTCCAAGACAAGTCCTGGACAAGTTCAAGTATAAATACTCCTAAAACCAAGACATGTCCTGGATAAGTTCAAGTACAAATACTACTGAGTCCAAGACATGTCCTGGACAAGTTCAAGTACAAATACTACTGAGTCCAAGACATGTCCTTGACCAGTTAAAGTATAAATACTATTGAAATCAAGACATGTCCTGGACAAGTTCAAGTACAAATACTACTGAGTCCAAGACATGTCCTAGACAAGTTCATGTATAAATACTATTGAAACCAAGACATGTCCTGGACAAGTTCAAGTACAAATACTACTGAGTCCAAGACATGTCCTAGACAAGTTCATGTATAAATACTATTGAAACCAAGACATGTCCTGGACAAGTTCAAGTACAAATACTACTGAGTCCAGGACATGTCCTAGACAAGTTCATGTATAAATACTATTGAAACCAAGACATGTCCCGGACAAGTTCAAGTACAAATACTACTGAGTCCAAGACATGTCCTGGACAAGTTCAAGTACAAATACTACTGAGTCCAGGACATGTCCTAGACAAGTTCATGTATAAATACTATTGAAACCAAGACATGTCCTGGACAAGTTCAAGTACAAATACTATAGAATCCAAAACAAGCCGGAGTACAAATACTGAGTAGAAAGCAAGGTGTCCCTAAACGTTTTACAGGCAGTCTATGTACAGACGTGGTGTTGATTATTAACTGGATTTCTCTTCTCTTTCACAGCATCTTCTCCTCCAAAGGAATATGAAGCCATTTACGTGCTGGCAGGGGATCCAGATGTCATAAAACTGGGTAAAGACTTCAGACGTTTCTGTTGTTTATCTACATCTACTGTTGTTTATCTGATGCTACAGCGCTGATTAAAATCTCCTGCTTCTGCTTCTTTGTATAAGATTATGCAGCACTCAGCTAAACAGACTTCCTCAACAGGCAGCGTGTGGAACCACATCCTTTTACCACATGTACCATCTCAGACTAGTTCCTGACCACACAGTCCAGGGCTGCATTTTAACATCATGTCTGCATGTCTACAGTAACGTGTTAGAACCAATGAGAATGTTAATGGTATTTCTATTAGACTTTTTGTAGTGTTTCTGTGCATTAGTAATTGCACAAATGAAGTTCTGTGTCTTTTTTTGGATGCACCATTGTATTTTATACAGAAACTATGTTGGCATTAATATGAGCGATTTGGTTTTGATGTCTTTCATCTGAGCACTTTCATAAAAAGATCAACAACCTCAAGACTCAATACTATCCTATACAGAAGTAAAAATAAGTTACACATCAACTACAGAGTTATTTTGTGTGTATATATATATATATATATATATATATATATATATATATGTGTGTGTGTTGTGCTGGTGCGAGTGGATCAGACACAGCAGTGCTGCTGAAGTTTTTAAACACTGTGTCCACTCACGGTCCACTCTATTTGACACTCCTACCTTGTCAGTCCACCTTGTAGATGTAGTCAGAGACAATAGCTCATCTGCTGCTGCACAGTTTGTGTTGGTCATCCTCTAGTCCTTCATCAGTGGTCACAGGACGCTGCCCACAGGACGCTAGTGGCTGGATATTTTTGGTTGGTGGACTATTCTCAGTCCAGCAGCGACACTGAGGTGTTTAAAAACTCCAGCAGCACTGCTGTGTCTGATCCACTCAGACCAGCGCAACACACACTAACACACCACCACCACATCAGTGTTACTGCAGTGCTGAGAATGATCCACCACCCAAATAGTTTCTGCTCTGTGAGGGTCCATGGGGGTCCTGACCACTGAAGAACAGGGTAAAAGGGGGCTAACAAAGTATGCAGAGAAACAGATGGACTACAGTCTGTAACTGTAGAACTACAAAGTGCACCTATATAGTAAGTGGAGCTGATAAAATGGACAATGAGTGTAGAAACAAGGAGGTGGTCATAATGTTATACCATAATGTCATAATTGTTTTCTGTTTATCAGGCTTGAAGAACCAAAATGCAGCTTCCCCTTTTATACCACAAGCTCAGTCCTCTGAGAACAACCCGGTAAATGACCTGTAACATGTCTCACTTTCATACATCAACATTTCTTAAATAAGCAAACTAATGAAACTCTGAATGCATAACACAGTTCTCCTGTTTCAGTTCTCTTTTCTGTCTTCATGATGTTATCAGACCTCTGAAACGTCAGCGGACGTATTTAAAGTCCAGTTTGAAGTGTAAACAGTGCTAACAACACAGTAATGTGTTACAGTAGATGTTTGTTTTCATCCCTCAGAGTGATCCGCTCTATTCCACCATCCAAGAAGTCAACATGTAGCCGTGTGGAATGAAGACCTCACTGCCTTCAAGATCCATACAGAATAACACAGCATCTCGTCTGCTTCTGTTTGAATTTGCTTACATGTTTACATTTTTAAACTAGATCTAAATACATATCTTTGGATTTTTTATAGAATTTTGTATATACCACATGTACAGTAAAGACTTGACTTGATAATCTGGATAGCTTATTTGCATGTTAATAAATGTTTAAGTAATTATTGGTTGTGCGGTAATATTTGTACAGTATTATTATTTATACTCTATTATTTTTTATATATTATCATTATTTTTCTTATTATTGAAAACTCAGAAAAAGTCAGCAACCTAGATGCACTACAGATCTACAGAAGCTAGCAGATAGATTTGAATACATATGAAGTCTAAAGAGCTTCTGAAGAGTTTAATTCCAAAATGCTGAATATCTAATTATAGTAATTTTGAATATACCAAGTTTTTGAAAAGAATAAAAGCTGATGTATAATGGAAATGCACTTCTATTTTTCCATATATTTAATCACGATTTTTGAATGTGTAAAGCTCACTCCCAAAAACATATACACTCTTTGGCCAAAAGTATGTGGACACCTGACTATCACACCTATATGGGTATGTTGGAGATTCAATTTCAAAACCATAGGCATTAATATGGAGTTGGTCCCCCTTTGCAGCCCCAACAGCTTCCACTCTTCTGGGAAGCTTTAGTCAAAGAAGCATTAGTGAGGTCAGACACTGATGTTGGGCGAGAGGGCCTGGCTCACATTCTCCGTTCTAGTTCATCCCAAAGATGTTAAGTGGGGTTGAGGTCAGGGCTCTGTTCAGGCCATTGGTGTTCCTCCACACCAAACTGATCAAACCACGACTTTATGGAGCTCACTTTGTGAACAGGGACACAGTCATGCTGGAACAGGAAAGGCTCCTCCCCAAACTACTGATGCAAAGCTGGAAGTGTATTATTGTCTAGAATGTCTTTGTGAGCTGTAGCATCAACATCACCCTTCACTGGAACTGAGGGGCCCAAACCCTGAAAAACAGCCTCCACCAAACCTATTTGTTGGCACTATGCATTCCAGTAGGTAGTGTTCTCCTGGTATCCACCATAACCCAGCTTCGTCCATCAGACGGCCAGATAGAGAAGTATGAGAGAACACGTGTCCACTGCTCCAGAGTCCAGTGAAGCCATGCTTTACACCACTCCAGCCGACACTTGGTATTGCGCATAGTGATCTTCGGCTTGTGCGTAGTTGCTCGGCCATGAAAACCCATATTATTAGCCTCCTGAACAGATGAAAACAAACAGAAATATTGTTCTGTATATGATTTTTTTAGAGTGAAAGCAGATGAGTTTTGCCCTATTGTTTAAAGCTGATAAGACAGTTACAGTTTCCTTTAGATAAGGCGGTACACAGTTCTAGATTGAAAGACCTTGATGAAAGAATGTTAACTGATAAACGATGTCCTAAAGAGAGCTGTATGGAGGTTATTAGAAGATCTTGTGGAGTAATGATGAGCTTTAAAGTTGTCATGTCATTCTGAGCATTCAGGAAGACAGTTGTGTGTAATGCAGAAAATAACCTGGTATATTTGTGGTTGATTTCATACACATTAAGTGTTTGAATATTTTGGAAAAGTGGATGAAAGTTCACATAATAATTAGCTATGTGACCTTTCTAACAAATGGCCTCCGAAATATGTAAACAACTTATGTTATTTTTGAAAGTACATGGCCAGATAATATTACAGTAAGAAAGAACAAATAAATCTGGAAAAGCGCCTGTTGACAGAGAGCGATTTACAATAGTCAAAACATCATTTTGAACAAAGTCATCCTAAGGAGAGAAAAAGGAACAGGGTCAAGATCACATGTGAATGAATTTAATTTGTTTACAACAGATGTAAGCTCCTGATAACTGATAAAAGAGAACAATGTCATTACTGATGTAGGTGGCTTATCAGGAAGGTTATAGGAACTTCAGCTGGCTGAGCTATGCTCTGTTTTATCAAGGTCTATTTTTTTTTTAAATGAGTTGCAAACTGTAGTATAATCTAGTGTGTGATAGTATAGTATATTCTAGCATAGTCTAATGTAGTATTGTCCACTATGGAATAGTATAGTATAGTGTAGTACACGGTAGTTCAGTTTAATGTAGTATAGTGTAACATAGCCTACTGTATAGTTTAATGTAGTATGGTTTAGTATACTCTGTTGTACAGTCTAGTATAGTATAGTATGATAAAGTATATGATAAAGTACACAATATACTATTATATACTAGTATAGTCAAATATGGTATAGTGTAGTATGATATACAACAGTTAGTTCCGGCCACACGAGCTGATTGGTTGAGAAGCATTCTAACTGTGCTGTTATTTCACCATAACATCACAGTTTTTTCACACTATATCACTCCACTAAGACGCCGTTGCTAAGCAACGACTTTGACAGCTGTAGGAGACGCTCAAGCCATCTGAAAGTTTTTACTACTTACTTTGCCACAAACAGAAAATGGACACTTTTAAGATCATATTTGACCGACAGCCGATTTGGTCAGACTCTGAAGATGAGACGACACTAAATTCCCAAACTGTCAGTTGCTCTGTGAGGAGCTGGAGAACGCACTGCCGGCTGTGCAGCGAGTGGGCGGAGTTCGTTACGTAGCAACAAGCTGCTTGTTAAGGAACTATAATTTGGTGAAGGAACTGCGAACATTAAAACATATTAAACGCCGCATTCACGGCCCAGTTTATTAATTTATTACTTTATTTATTTAACTGTTGTATTAAAGCAATAGAACACTCGAGGAGTGTGTTATCGCCAATAACATCACGGCTGTGATTTGGTCACCGGCATGAGCCAAAGGCGAGTTGTTATTTCACGATAACACACTCCCTTTCGTGTTCTATTGCTTAAGTATAGTCTATTGTAGTACAGTCTAATGTGGTATAGTATAGTATAATATAGTATAGTCTATTGTTGTATAGTCTAATAGGGTAGAGTGTAGTATAGTCTATTGTAGTATAGTCTAAGGTGATTCCTGACGCCAAATGCAGCTCTCACAGTCCCGGATATGATAACATTCCTAATATATCCACACATACACAGACACATGATGGGCAGGAAGCTCTGAAAGAAGAGGGAAGAAGGGAGTCAGTCATATGAATGTCCACCATGAAAAACGTCCTGCTGGCCTGGGTTTTTATCTCTGTACTCCACACTAATGAAGCCATCACGGGTAAGCTGAGAGACCTTCTACAATCACCATCCACAGGAAGAGCACCGTGTGATTAGCCAAAATACACTGTTGTTTTGTGAAGCTAAAGTCTGTTACGATGAAAGACAGGAGTGCTACACCTTCCTGAAATCATTTCAACACTTTTTTACTATACTGTGTATGTTGACTTATGCCTTAATCATGTTCATTATGATTTGTATCTCATCATATTTATCAATATTTCGTATTTTGCTAAAATATTTGTAATGCAGATCAGACTAAGTGTTTTAGTGACACAATGGAAAGAAAAAATGCCTAGACAACAAAAAAAAACTGAATCTCTATACTGAATATGCACAATATTCCTATTATTGGCTGACTTTTAATAATGTGTATATATATATATATATATATATATATATATATATATATATATATATTATGTTGTTTTAATATATATATATATATATATATCTATATATATATATATATATATATATACACTGTACTACACAGGTTTTCTTAGTTTTAATATTGACTCATAAAGTGTATATATACTTATATATATTTATGTATTGACTTATACATAAATATATATATGTAAGTCAATGGAACCAGATGTTTTTCCAAGTCATTTTGGGCCATTTCTTTTGGTTCATTGATCATGAAATATATATATGTATGAGTCTATATTTAAACTCACACTTGTGTAGTACAGTCTAATGCGGTATATTACAGTATAATATAGTGTGTTTACAAGTGCAATAATACTTTTTATGCTTGAACTGCTGCATGTTAGCTTTAGCCTTCTGATGGTGGTTCACCCACTTGTCAGACCAAATGAGGACCAAATGAGGGCCCTGTATCTACCACCCACCGAGGTGTCTGAGTGGTGAGAGAACAGAGTTATAAAAGCAGCAGTAGCTAAAGTGGGCTGGTGGGAGGTTTGACTCACTCTGACTGTGAGTGGTGAGTGTTGTTCTTAGGCCTCTGTGTGCCCTCTTCCTCCTGATAAAGGAGAACCACGAGACACACAGGAAACACACAGCACTGCATGTCTGTCTGTCTGTCTGTGTTAGGGCCCAACAAAAATGGGGTTTTGTGCTGAGTACATTGAGCATTGAGTTTGGATCAGGTTTTTCTTATGAGTGATTTTTCATGTAGTAGATTGGTTTTTATTTGATGGAGTATGCTTACATAAATTTCATAGTCCCTTATGCATTTTGTCCTACTCTCTCTCTGTCTCTATCTCTCTCTGTCTCTCTCTCTCTCTGTCTCTCTCTCTCTCTCTCATAATGTTGTAGTTAGGGCCTGACTAAATTCACAATAAAATTTGGTGACGTTCACGGATTCAGATTCTCAAAAATTACAGATTATATTGATTTTTTGAGAGAAATGCTATGTTTCATGGCGCTTATTAAATAATACTTATTGTTCACATAATGTTGTAGCCCCACCATACACAGCAAACAAGCAGCCTTAATGGTTAAATGGTGAGCACTGAACATCTGGCGATAGTGCAAGGCTTCATGCTCTGTAGCTGGGTTTGCATTCAAACATTTTGCAAATGTTATGCACATTTATGAAATTTTGGCAGAAAAGAATGCGAACCAAGTCACGTTTCCAGCTGTGTTGTTTGCAGCTCAGAAAGCTCTGCACTCTGAAATCTCTGTACCACCCCGACGACATCCACCTTGCATCTTGGAACGCATCACACAAATTTTGAGAGCATATTGTGTAAAATTTGTCAAACAAGGTTTGGATCAGGCATTTCAGAGTGTCAAAAGCAACCTTCAAACAGCTATGTGCCACGACCGGACCATTTGTAGGGCCAATTGTTTCTTACTTATGGCCTGATACATCATCATTTATTAAAAAAACACCCTTTTCATCACCCTTTTTGCATTTTGGCTTCAGCAATGTTCTAACCGCTGCGTCCAAGCGTAAAAAGTCTTTTTGCAATAAGGTGTTTTTTTTCCCAAATCTCAGGTTTTTCCGTTTAGTTTTTTGGCGCATTTTCAAATTTCGCAAAAAATTGGTGGATAGAAAACCTGCTTGTATCTAAGATGAAGCTTGTCCTTGTTTTGACATGGTTCTCTCCACATCAGGATTGATGGCCAGCACTATTGTAGTTTAGCTAGATGTAGGAGCCTCGACTCAAATGACCTCCAAAAACATAACACTGGTAATGTCGTGTCTGCCTCTTGTGAGACGTGTTTATAGATAACCATACGTTTTTGTCAATGAATAGTGCTAAATTTAAATCCACTATTGAAATTAGAACTTATTTAGCGTCAAAAACGCACCCAGCTTTCAGGGATCTGGCTGCTACCCAGTTTGCATGATGTTCTCATGACTGATCTAAATACAAGAAAAAAAGAGAACAGCACTGACGTTTAACTCTGCACAGTCCAGCTTTGGCACAAATTTAAATTTAAAATTTAGCTGTATTTCATGATAGTCTCTTAAATGGGGAAAGGCTCATTTCATGGTCTGTGACGTGATTTTTTTACAGCCATGAATTTGGTAGGACCCTAGTTATAGTCTACAGCAATGGAGAACTTAGAGCTAAGTCTTCATACGTGTCAAAACTAGGACAACATGTTAGCATAAAAACTCACCTCTGTGATAGTGCTAACACTTCTATAGGAAGCACACTAAATATGGATTTTAAGTGTATCCCTTAAATATCTACTTAATTGGCTGAGCTTAATTTTTGCACAGGTCACATTTTATGTTTTTTTCCAATATGTTTAATTCAGCGAATAAGCAGTAATTGTGCATTAAAATGTGCAGAAGTGTGTCTCTGTAGAAGATGTCAACTTTCTTCACATAGACAATTAACAAAACATCATTGGTCCAGTGGTGCACAAACGTTTGCATACGACAGTGTGCATTGCGTGATAGTGATACAGGCCAGATAGAACGCTTTTCTCTAAATACAGCACGTGGCTGTGGTTCAGAGTCTGTGGTGAGCTTTTCTCTTTCACTGAAAGCCTGCGGTAGATCCGACTGTTCTACTGAACAGCAGCCGGATATGTATTCATAAGGGTGTACTGGTGTTTATAATAAATTGTTCTAGAAAACAAGGTCAGTTATTTATGTTCATGTTCAAGTTTTCATGAAAGTCCACAGCAGCTGTAGCCAATATAATGTTTAGTGACCAGCCAGAAAGTACCAGTAAATGATGTAAGTTAACTAGAATGTGGCTTGGATGGATGTCCCTGAAAAAGATGAGTTACCCATTTCAGTACTGGTTTTAACATGACTTCATCCACTTGGCCTCGCTATTTGCCTTTGGGGGAATCAACACCATTAGAGCCTTCTATTACTTTACTGGCTCAACTGAAGTTTATTAGATCCTGTCCTCATGAAATAACTACAGATGTCACTGTAAAAGAAATGCTGTTCATTTTAATACTGGCTATAAGATGCCCATGTCCACTTGGCCTGACCCTTTTGGGCAATACCTGATGCCGTCTTAAGGTCTATTCTATTACTTCATTGGCTTAAGTGAATTTTATTAGATAAGGGCATCACTGAAGGCTTAGAAAGCCTGGAGGTTTTCCACTGAATTTGCCAAACAATGCCAATCCTATATCTAAAAAATGCTGGTCAAATCATTGTTTTCCTCAAGAAAATTCAGTTTTGCTGCATCTGTAGGTCCACTGGTACCGGTGGAACATCTATAGGTAGCTAATTTCAATTTCTGGCTTTTGTCCACTTGGTCTTGCCATTTCACTTTGGGGGAATCCACAGCACCATCTTAAGGACTGTTACATTACTTTATTGGCTCAAGTGATGTTTATTGGATGAGCCGTTTTATTTTTAGCAGTTTTTTGGGTCACACTTTATTTTGATGGTTCCCTATAGATGCTTTACACATACTTAAATTATTAGCAATCTCTCTGGTGATAATTAGTTGATTATCAACAACATTATAGCTAAGGTTAAGTTTAGGACTATGTGTAGGTTTTGCCTTGAGTTAGGTTTAGGGTTAGGGTTAGATTTAATAGAACGTTAAATTCAGTTGCATTTAATATATATGTAGTTGAATGTTGCTTAAAAATAGACTGAGCGTTTACAAAGAATCTACAGTGGACCATCAAAATAAAGTGTTACTGTTTTTTGAACTCCTCAAAAAACCTTTTCCATCACAAAGTTTGCATGGCCAGCCGATTTGCACAGTGAGGCTAACTTGCCAATGGCAAGTGCATTCCTCCCCTTGTGCTGTGAGTTGGCACTTGTGTAACCTTGACGTGACACATAACTGTGGTGCGTTTAAGTGGACATTAAAAAATGATTGAAATGGGCCCATAGTCCAGAGATCAACAAAATGTGTATGTAGCTTTTAGCATTAATGATGCCTTCGCAGATGTGCATGTTGCCCATACCATGACAGGCCCTGGCTTTAAACTTTACACTGGTAACCATCTGGATGATCCCTCTCTTCTTTGGTCCAGAGAACACAATGACTATCATTTACATAAACAATCTGAAAAGTTGACTCCTCAGACCACAGCACACATTTCCACTGAGCATCAGTCAATTTGAGATAAGCTTGAGCCCAGAGAAGTCGGCGGTGTTTCTGGATGTTGTTGATTTATGGTTTCCACTGTGCTTAACTTGCATTTGTCCTTAGACTGTTTAATCATTTGTTGACCCATTTCTTGGGAAAGTGGTGATACAAACAAATAATCGATACATTTAAACTTAAATACCTTTTTTGTACTGTATTTGCATTAATACATTTCTAAGTGGATTTGCAAATTGCTGCCTTCTGTTTCTATTTGCATTTCACATACTGTCCCAACTGTTTTGGAACTGAGGTTTGTACACTTATGTCTGTGGGAGAAATATGTCAGACAGAGTAGGTTGCTTTATGGTTTGCAGTGAGATTTTCTCTTTACTATTTTTACTCTTTTCCCTTCCACTGAAAGTCTGTAGTGTGGTTTTCTGTTCTGAACTAGGAGAAAGTTTGGGTTTGTTTTAGTCTTCAGGACTGATTTTATCAAAGCGGT